GGGATGCTGCAGTGGGTGTCCCCACTGACAGGACAAATGTCCTCCTCACAGCCACCAAACCAGTGATGCTCCATGAACTTTAGGTCTGACCTTGGCTCGGGGTAGCAGCATCAGAGAGGGGCAAATCTGTCTCTGTGTCACTCATGTGCACGTCCCACTCTGTCCTCAGCGGGGGGACTGGATCCCAGCCCATCCCTCCCCACCTGCAGGGGAGAGCAGAGGGGTTGTACGAGGGAGGGATGCAGCAGGAGGGATGGCAGATGCTGCAGTGGGTGTCCCCCCTGTCAGCACAGGTGTCCTCAGAGCCACTGAAACAGTGATGCTCCATGACCTTTGGGTCTGACCTTCGCTTACAGTCACTGCAGAGGGCAAATCTGTCCCTGTGTCACCCATGTGGACACCCCACTTTGTCCTCACCTGGAGGACTGGTTACTCCACATCCCTCCCCAGCTGCAGGGAACTGCACCAGGGAGGGGGATGCAGCAGGAGGGAGAGGGGATGCTGCAGTGGGTGTCCCCCCTGACAGTACAGGTGTCCTTCTCACAGCCACCAAACCTTTTGGTCTGACCTTCGCTTGCAGTCACTGCAGGGGACAAATCTGTCCCCATGTCACACACATGAGCACTCCACTTAGTCCTCATCTGGAGGACTGGGTATCCCCCATCCCTCTCCAGCTGCAGGGGAGGGCAGAGGGGCTGCACCAGGGAGGGTGATGCAGCAGAAGGGATGGACGTGCTGCCAGGCCCCCAAAAGGACACTGGCCCTACTCAGCTCTCCAGTAAACAGCAGTTTGCTCACCACAAGAATGTGTGCTGCTAGGGGTGTGTTACACCCCAAAACTCTGGTGATTTGCCCCTTCCTCTGTCGTGAGTCAGGCAGTGGTGGCTGCCCCAGGCCAGCACGACACTGGACACAGCCTGTACTTTGGGCAATTTGGGATGACAAAGTGGGGACGCAGCGCGTGGGGCTCTGATTGCAGGGTCAGGGGCTGTGGAGCTTCACTGCCCTGTCCCACCCTGTCTCTGCCCCAGCAGCCCCTACCCCAGGGGGATCCACACTGCCCTATATACCTGTCTGGAGTATTCCACTTTTCTCCTGCCCCACATACCTACCTGGGGTGTCCTCACTGCCTCACAGCCCTACCTGGGGTGTCCTCACAGCTCCATGTTCCTGCCTAGAAAAAAAACCACATACCTCCCTCGGGTGTCCCCACTGCCCCACAGCCCTACCTGGGATGTCCCCACTGCTCCACAGCCCTACATGGAGTGTCCCCGTTGCTCCATACCCCTAATTGGGGTGTCCCCACTGCTGTACAGCCCTACTTGGGGTGTCCCCACTGCCCCACAGCCCTACCTGGGGTATCCCCATTTCCCCACAGCCCTGTGGGAGTTATCCCCCCTGCCCCACATCCCTACCCAGAGGTATCCCTAACCCCACTCCACATCCCTACCTGGGGTATCCCCCTTGTCCCGTGCCCCTGCATGGAGTATCCCCATTGCTCCAGATCCCTGCCTGGGGTAATCCCCTGCCCCAAAGCCTTGCCTGGAGTATAACCTTGCCCCAGAGCCCTGTCTGGGGTACTCTCTTGCCCCTGCCTGAGGTATAACCCTGCCCCAGCACCCTGCCTGAGGTGACCTCTGTCCCCGCCTGGAGAAGCCTCTTGACCCAGAGCCCTGCCTCGGTTATTCCCCTGCCCCTGCCTGGGGTATAAACCTGCCCCAAAGCCTTGTCTGGGGTATAACCCTGCCCCAGAGCCATGCCTGGGGTATCTCCCCACCTCTGCCTGGGGTAACCCCCTGCCCTAGAGCTCTGCCTGGGATACCCAGTGCCCCCAGCCCTGTCTGGATTTCCCCCCTGCTCCACAGCCCCTGTAGCCATGTGTGTCTACGTAGCTGTGTGTGCACATGCTGGTGTTATCTGCCGCCATGTGTGCACCTGTACTGCCAGTGTGTGCCTGTTCACCTCTGCCTTGGTGTGTCTGGCTGTCTCTGAGGCTGTCTGTGAGCCTGTCTGTGTCTGGTTCCATCTGAGGCTGCGTCTCAGGGTGTAACTGCCAGCAGAGGGGGTGTGGGTTAGTGTGTGTGTGTGTGTGTGTGTGTGCACCTGTGCACCTGGCACACACCTCCCTGCAGACCTGGGGGGCCCTCAGCCAGCCCACACCCCCCTCTGTTTGCTGCTGGCACACCAGCAGGCCTGGCACTGTGCCCATCATCACCTACTGACAGCACTGGGTGGTGGGCATCCACCCCAAGGCACCCCTGACAGTTGGGACCACCAGCATACACCCTCCCCACAACACAAAGGGCACAAAGCCCTGGGGTGCTGCTTGCATGGGCTCCACCTCAGTAGCACAGGGGCACCCCTGGATACCCCTTGGGAGGGGTAATCAGGGCATGGTGGGGTGGCAGAAGCTCACCTAGCCAGAATCAGAGGTTTTGGGGATGTCATGGGCTGGCAGAGGCTGATCTGGCTGGCTACAGGGTATCAGGGTGGCACAGGGTGGTGGAGGCCAGCCTGGGTGGATACAGGGTGTTGGTGTGACACAGGGTGACAACAGCTGCCCCAGCCAGATATGAGGGATCAGGGTGCTGTGAGATGGCCCCACTGGCTATGGGGTGTCAGGGTGCTGCAGGGTAACAGAAGCTGACCTGCCAGGTATGGGGTGTTGGGATGCTGTGGGACACCTAAGTCCAGTCTCTCTGGCTACAGGGTGTTGGGGTGCTGTGGGACACCTAAATCCAACCCCCGTGGCTATGAGTTATTGAGGTGTTGTGGGACACCTAAATCCAACCCCCCTGGCTATGGGTTATTGGGGTGCTATGGGACACCTAAATCCAACCCTCCTGGCTACGGGGTGTTGGGGTGCTGTGTTAGACCTAAATCCAACCCCTCTGGCTATGAGTTATTGGAGTGCTGTGGGACACCCAAATCCAACCCCCTTGGCTATGGGTTATTGGAGTGCTGTGGGGCACAGCCAGGCAGTCACAGGGCTCTTCCCCCCTCCTCATCCCAGGGTTCCTTCCACAGCACCAGCTGCCAATATCCTGCTGCGCTCTTGAGTAGTTAATAAGTTGTAGAGGAGATTTTTTGGAGCAGGCAGGGAACAGGTAACAGCAAGTCTGTGTCCAGCAACCACATTCCTTGAGGGGGGGGGCTGAAAATGCTGGCACTCCCCCCAGCATGCAAGGTTGGAGCGGGGAACGTGCACCCCACAGCCATGGGGCAGTCACTGCCAGGTCTGAGGGCATTGCTCCTGCCCTGGGATATGTTTCCCTTTGCCTGCTGCCAGCTCAGGTTGTTGGGGTGACGCTGCAGGGGTGGTTACGTGGATTACCTGCTTCCTTCAAGGCCACAAGACTTGTGCAGGATGAGTAATGATATTTATCAGCCAGACAGGGGATCCCCCAGGACAGTGCTCCTGGACCAGAGGGGTGGGGAGCAGGAGGAGGACAGGCAGAGGGGGCTACCTGATCCCACCTTAGTCCTGCTCATACACTGCCAGGCCGGGAACACACATGGAATGGTGACACAAATGTCATGGCACAACCAAGGGGTTGCACTTTGCACGGTGATGCAAAGGTGCCCAACGCTCCCCGAACCCCAGTGAAACGTGAGCACTGATAACACACTCCAGAAACCAACCAAACCCTGCCCCCACCAACACCTCCAAGAGGGGGAGGGAATGGTGGAACCAAAGCATTGCCAGGTGTCCAAAAAAGGGTTGGATGGGTTGGAATGAGTGTGGTGGTTGTGCTTCCTGATACCCATGGGCCTGAAACCAAGGGGATTGCCATGGCGAGTGCCGTCTCTCCTCCTCCCGCCCTTCTCTGGTTACTCGGCGCCATCTCTGCAAACAAAGGGGAGGGTGTGGGACACAGGTGACGGTGACGGAGGAGCTCAGAGGAGCGTCCAGCACTGAAACCCCACCCCGCAGCTGCCCTTATAAATACCAGAGCACACAGGTGTAAGCTGATCCCCCACGGGCTGTGAGCGGCGGCAGGTGACGGCGACAGTTTCGCTCCGTGGGTTCTTCTCCGCCATCGCTTGGAGCTCCTCAGTCAACCGTCCACCATGTCCATGGGGCTGGAGATCGGTGGTGTGGCCTTGTCGGTGCTAGGTTGGTTGTGCAGCATCATCTGTTGCGCGTTGCCCATGTGGAGGGTCACGGCCTTCATCGGCAACAACATCGTCACGGCCCAGATCATCTGGGAAGGGCTTTGGATGAACTGCGTGGTGCAGAGCACAGGGCAGATGCAGTGCAAGGTCTACGACTCCATGTTGGCGCTGCCGCAGGACCTGCAAGCCGCCCGTGCCCTCCTGGTGGTGGCCATCGTCTTGGCCATCCTGGGCTTAATGGTGGCCATCGTGGGCGCCCAGTGCACGCGCTGTGTGGAGGATGAGAGCACCAAAGCCAAGATCACCATCGTCTCCGGCGTCATCTTCCTCCTCTCCGGTGTCATGACCCTCATCCCTGTCTGCTGGTCGGCCAACACCATCATCCGGGATTTCTACAACCCGCTGGTGCTGGATGCGCAGAAGAGGGAGCTGGGCACCTCGCTCTACGTGGGCTGGGCAGCCTCTGCCCTCCTGCTGCTGGGGGGGTCCCTGCTCTGCTGCTCCTGCCCCCCCAAAGAGGACAG